AGCTAGGAGCTTTGGCGGGTTGAATGCCCAGTTGTGGGTGCTTCCAGAGGCATTTTGATTTTGTGGAATACTAGGATAATTTATTTGGTTAAGTTTGGGAGAGGAGTGGTCTCAATTTCCTATGAATTTCTATGTAAGAGAAGTTCTATTAATTGGATCTTTTTGAGTGCCATGGCAAAGATGAAGATGTTTTGGTAAGATCTAGAATCATCTGGTTTAAAGAGCGGCTTATGTAGATTATTTCAAAAAAAAAAAAGCGGCTTGTGTAGATCAAGTGTTTTCAAGGGTGATTGATGCAAATAAGGCTAAAAATACTGAAGATACTCAAAGAGTATCAGAAGGTGACTTGAAGCAAATTTCAAATGATGTAAACACAAATACAATTCCAAATCTGGAAAGTTTCAGCGGACCAGTAACAAGATCAAAGGCAAAGAAGATTAAAGAGTTATTTCAAGTTTTTACTCAAAAACATGTGGATGATGGGCTGGCCAATTGTGGAAAGTTCAAATATAAGCTTTTTGAACAACTCAAATTCGTAACTTTAATTTTAAGTGATTTGGTATTCAATTGTTATCACTTGTATTTCAATTTTGATTTCCTATTTCAATTGTTCTTGGTGCTTATTTGGATTGGGTTCAAAAGATATCATTTATCTTTCTTGGGTTCTCTTTAACTTCTACCATTTGAGTGATTGAACAAATTTGATTTCTTTTTTACTTGCGATAAAAATTCCGTTCTAAACCGATTGAAGAGTTTTAAGGTTCAAGTAAGGGTCTTGGGATTCCGCATCATTTGTTATTAGAGCATTGGTTCACCAAGTAAATTAGTCTATCATTATTTTGTTGTCTTTATTTTCATTATTATTTTTTTTTTAAAAAGAGACAAATTTGCATTCAGCACAAAAAAAAAAAAAAAAAAATCAGATTAGCCTAATTTGCTTAATTGTGCAAAACACATTTCTACATATTTTACCTTGTGTAATTGACACAGTTGCTGTTATTTCCCTTTTATTTATCTCATATAACATTCAAATACATTTAAAATTTAAAAGGGAAACTCGTTTCAAAACTGTTTATTTGGTTGAGATTGTTTGTGTAATTTTTGGGGTTGTTTGGAAACAGCTCACCTCAATTGAGTTTGTTTTCATCCAAAACTGTTTGTTTCACTTAATTTGAGTATTTTGGGTGATAATTTGTGGTTATATTAGAGAATTACAAGTTTCGTGCATTAAATTCCATATTCACCATTTTTTTTTCTTGCATCTTTAGTTTTCATTTAATATTTCTGCCCATTTGCTTCTTATTACATTTTGAGGTAATAATATTGATTCGTTGTTGCCTAATTAACATAAAAATCATCATACACTTATTTCTATATTAAGTGCGTGCTATTCATTGTTTAAATCGTTCTAGTTTGCTTTTAGAGTTGAATTTGTGTATCTTGTTTCTTTAGGAATTCTTTGTTATCTCTAATGAAAATTGAGTACATAATGATAATTAATTGTTATTTGAATTGGCCGACATCTAAAAGTGTAAGTGAGGTGCGTAGTTTTCATGGTTTGATAAATTTATATAGGAGATTTGTAAAAGATTTTAGTGTCGTTGCTGCCCCTTTAACTGAAATCATGAAAGAGGTTTGTTTGGGGAAAAGAACAAGAACATACGTTTTTCTTATTGAAAGAAAAGTTATATAATGCGCATTTATTAAGATTGTCTAATTTTGATTCAACTTTTGAAATTGAATGTGATGCATTTGGGCTTGGGATAGGTGCTGTTCTTATGCAAGATAAAAGACCCATTGCTTACTTCAGTGTGAAGCTCAATGGTGCACAATTGAATTATTCTACCTATGATAAAGAGTTTTATGATTTGGTAAGAGCATTAGAGACATGACAATATTATTTGTTACCAAAAGAATTTGTGATTCACACCGATCATGAATCTTTGAGGCATTTGAAAAGGCAAGGTAAGCTTAATAAATGACCTGCAAAATGGATTAGAATTCATAGAGTCATTCCCATATGTGATCTAATATAAGCAAGGAAACGAAAATGTGGTAGCTGATGCACTTTCAAGAAGGAATTGATTCGAGGACGAATTCTTTTGAGGGGAGGGGGAATGATGCAAACAAGGCTAAAAACACTCAAGATGCTCAAAGAGCATCAGAAGGTGACTTGGAGCAAATTTCAAATAATGTAAACACAAATACAGTTTCAAACCTGGAAAGTTTCAGCGGACCAGTAATAAGATCAAAGGCAAAGAAGCTTAAAGAGTTGCTCCAAGTTTTTACTCAAAAACATGTGGATGATGGGCTGACCAATTGTGGAAAATTCAAATATGAGCTTTTTGAATAGCCCAAATTCGTAACTTTAATTGGATTTAAGTGATTTGGAATACAATTGTTATCACTTGTATTTCAATTTTGATTTTCTATTTCAATTGTTTTTGGTGCTTGTTTGGATTGGGTTCAAAAGATATCATTTATTTTTCTTGGGTTCTCTTTAACTTCTATCATTTGGGTGATTGAACAAATTTGATTCCTTTTTTACTTGTGATCTAAATTCCGTTCTAAAACGATTAAAGAGTTTTAAGGTTCAAGTAAGGGTCTTGGGGTTTCGCATCAGTGACTAATTCCTATCATCGAAACAAGTTTATCTATAAGTTGGTGGTTGACAAGGTGGAGCATGATGCGGAGGACAATTTGAAGAGAGTAGTTATGGATACTATTATCCGTCGTACTTCACGGATCAAACATTAGAGGGTCAATCTTAATGGTGTGGATTTTGACAAGCTCTTAGGTAGAGAGGCGAAGTGGCCTTTCACTCTCGGGATTATTATGAAAGCTCTTATGGGCTGTAATGGTGACAAAGTTCTTGGACTAGATGGTTTGCCCACGAGTTTCTTGCAACATAGTTGGGAGGTTATCAGGGATGATATTTTATTATTTTTTGCATTTTTTCATGATACAGGTAACATTGTGGTTTTGCTGAACTGAACCTTTGTGGTCCTTATCCCTGCAGTCAAAGATGCAACTGATATTGAAGACTTCACCCTATTAGTCTTGTAGGTTGTATCTAAAAGCTTATTTCTAAGGTCATTGCAATCAGACTAAGCAAGTTCATTGCTCTGGTGTTGGGAGAGAACCAACGTGCTTATGTAGAAGGATAATAGGTCATGAAGGCTGCATAAATTTCTTATGAAGTTATTGACTCAATCCTTAAGTTCAAATTGAGGCTGATCTTATGCAAGCTTGATATTGAAAAGGCTTATGAGCATGTGACTTTGGTCTTTCAGCTCTACTTACTCAAAAGGATGGGTTTTATTGAGAGATGGTGCAGGTTGATTAAGAGATGTATTCTACAGCTTTTTTTTTTTTTTTGCTATTTCTTCATTCTTTTTCATCATGATTATGGAGGCCTTAAATTGAGTGTTCCTAATATTGCTATGCTTGATAATCTACTCAAGGGTTGGAGGTGGGCAACGTCGACTTGAGAAAAGAGATCAGACGTCTCTTGTTTGCAGATGATACCCCTCTTTTTTTACAAATCTTCGAGAGAAGGTAAACATAAGATGTATTCTCATATATTTTGAGGTTGTTTCCAGCCTTACAGTCAACTTCGACGTGACTAAAATGGTTTCTCTTCAGGAAGATGTTCCTGTTCATGATTTGGATGGCCTTTTAAGGTCTAAATTGTCTGTCCTTCCTACAAAGTATCTTTGAATTCCCTTTGGAGCCGACCGGAAGGACCTTAGGGTTTGGGATCCTATCATATTGAAAATGGAAAAAGGGCCTTTTGCTTGGAAGAGGTCTTCCTTGTCCAAATGCAGGATACTTATCTTGGTCAGAGACACTGGCAAAATTTCCAATTTATTTTTCTTTGTTTTTCCATCCCTTTTTAAGGTGACCAATAGGCTTGAAGCTATTCAATATAGGTTTATTTGGAATAATATCGAGAATCATAGGGAATATCATCTCGTCGCTTGGGATACAGTTAAAAGATAGTAAGAGAGGAGTGAGGTGGGTATTTAGTCTTTGAAGCTCATGAATGGATCTCTCTTGGGCAAATGGCTGTAAACATTCATGTCCTTGAAGAAAGAAGCCATCGCCGCTAAATATGGGTGAAAGAAGTCATCACAGCTAAATATGGGTGAAAGAGGGAGGGTGGCAAACTGCATTGGTCTCTGAAAGCGGATTAGGATTGTTTGGAGTCAGTTTACGGATTTGGCTTTATTCCGGGTTGGTGATGGTTAAAAAGTTAGGTTTTGGCATGACAGTTGGTCAGGAATGTACTCTTGTAAGTTTAGTTTCCTAGGCAGTTTGAACTTACCAGTTTCGAGGTCTTAGGAAGTCATCACTTGATAGGGTATGACCCTTCTGCTCCCTCTTGGACCTATTATCTTACTGTGACCTTAATGATTGGGAGATCGATGACCTTGCCACCTTATTGTCCCAATTGCCTCGTACTCATGTAGTGTCTAGGATCCTTGACAAACTGGTATGAGCAACTTCTTAAAATGGTATTTTCTTGGCGAAGTCCTACTACCTCAATCTTGTGTCCCTATTGGCTGTGACCCCTTAAATTTCCTTTGAAACATATTTGGAAGAAGAAAGCTTTTGTCGCAGTTGTCGCGGTTGTCATTCTTTGTTTGGAAAGCAACATGGGGAAAATTCTTACCCTGGATGATCTAAGAAGACGTGGTAGAATTGCCACTTTGTTTGCGGGGGAATGACTCCCCCAATATCTTCTTCTTTGGCATCATGATGCAAGAAGAGTATGGGACTCCTTGCTCAACATTTCTTGTGTCCTTGCTCAACATTTCTTGTGTCATCAACAGCTTTGTTATAGATGTAATCTGGGTTTGGGTATTTAAACGGACCAGAATGTGAAACATCTCATCCTACTCATAGTGCTGTAAACTCTGTGGATTACCTAGAGAAAATGAAACAATAAAATGCTTTATGATGAAGTCTCTTCTTTTGTTAATATCAGAGACCACTAGTTCCAGTTTAAGTTTTTTGTTTAGAGGTTACCTTATTCTTTCTAGAGAGGCTTGGTACCTTTATTGTAACTTCTGATACTTAGTCCTTGGTTTTGTACAGAGATGGCACCCCCTTGGTGTTTTTTAATCTATGTTTGCTTTTTTCTTTCAAAAAAGACAAGCAGAATGTATTACTAAGCTCTTACTTGGCATCCAATAATCATTCCAATAAGTGGTGTGATGGAACTTCAAGATCAGATTAATGTACCAAGCCTACCCTCCTCAAACCTAAAGTGAGCATCTACCCCTGTATTTTGTATTCGGATCTCATATCACAATCTGGACATCCCTCATATTAAGTAAATATCGGTTAAAGCATGTTTTAAAAGAAGGCCAAATCCGAATAACCACAATGTTCGTTTTTATGAGTTCTGTGTTTGTCTGACGTTTTGCTACTTTGGCTAGTGAGGCTGCTTAGTGGAAAATCAACTATCATTTTTTTTTTGGCAAAAACTGTATGGGGTATATTTTCAAAACTCACAAAGTAAAAATGGAGTGGGTTTGGCTGTTACCCCCTAGTTACTGTTGTTTATAATATATCCTACATTACATTTCTATTTCCAAAAAAAAAAAAGAAGTGGGTTAGATAAAAAGAGAAGTGACTTGGACAAAAAGAAATGAAGTGACTTAGATAAATTTTTTTTGTCAATCTTAAACCAATAAATCAAACATTGATTGATTTATAACTGATCGAGCACTACTTAAAAATGGTTTTTCTGCTTAGAAAGAAAATGTTCCAAATACTTTGAAAATTCTTGCTCCCATAGCACCATCTGTATCTATATGCATTAGGATCTCAATCAGTGGATATCTCTCTCTCTCTCTCTCTCTCTCTCTCTCTTCATATTGGCAAAATGGACATAGATTTTCATTTGTAAATTTTCTTTCCTAGCAACCTTCTTAAAACACTCTGATTCTTTAAAAGAGTAGCTAGTTAGTAATGCCCTGCAAAGTAAGAATAGGAACTGTTCATTCACTCATTCAAAATACGTGCCTCCATACTATGCATTTGGCATTTGGTACATAATTGGTCTGCTTTACTTTTTGGTCGTCGCAAAGTCTGGTTTCTGTGGATAAAGATGCATTAGATATTTTAGTTGCATGTTTGATGGTATTACTGATAATGTGTTGCATAATAACATAATGAGTGCTTGCTCCCTCACTTGTCTTTGGTGCTTAAAAGCACTCTATGGCTATTTGAAGATTTTAACTTGTGAGGTTTGCATACACACTGGAGAATTATTACCGCAAGACATCCATACTTCAGAAATTCTAATCATCATTTGGCTGGTTTGCAATATTGTCATCTAACCCACACGGTCTGTTTTTCTTGGGTTAATTTCAAACACAGATATGGGTGTCGAGAAAGGTGTTCAATTAGAGGGTATGAGTGAGGGACAGATTTTAAAGGCACTTGAAGATCTTGTGAAGGCTGGAGCACCCGTTAAAGGTTGACATTGCTTTCATTTACCATATGAAAATTGGAATAAATTGATCTTGGTGGGAAAAATGATCCTTTTGGAATCCTTCTAAACTGGCTTTTATAAGATGATTTGTGTATGAGTTGAAGACCTTATTGCTGCAATGCACATTCATTTTATAAATTTAGTTGCAACTCTCACCTTCTCTTGCTTTAAAGTAAGAGTCCGAATCGGTTTGGGAGAAAGAGCAAGAGCAGGAAGGTCCTTGGCTTTGAATATTTAAATGATAAGTTTATTAGTTAAAACATTTAAATTTTTATTGTAATTTTATCATTTCTTGTTCAACATGTGTTGCACTTGTATTTTTGCAGTTAATTTTCTCGTCGGGTGACCTACATTTCAACAATGAACAAATCAAATTACCCTCACCGTGTGTTTCATAATAATGTTAATTGACTGATGGATTGTATAGAAGACAGTTGTTTTTTTTTTTTTTTTTAATAAATTTATTCAAGTAACTGTCATGTATATTCTACAGCAGTTAAAATGCCACAACAGCTAAAATATCATGTCAAAGACGTCATATAGGCATATTATTATCTTTTGTGTGTATATTAATATGTATATATAAGATAAAATTGATTAAATCAGATAATGAAGTCCTCTTTTAATTAAAAATCTCAAAGAAAGAAAGTTTTCAAGAAAAATGAGACTAGAAGGATTAAATAGAGGCGGTGATAAAGTGGACATTGTTCTTTTCTTATGGGTATAACTGGGAGGAGAAAATATTTGGGACATTTTTTTAGGTTTTTGTGTAAAGGGCAATCTTTGTGCTCCAAGAAGAATTTTAAGGATTTGATGGATATCATAATTGAAATGAAGTACTTGTGTGTACGGGTTGCAGTTACTTTGATGCTTATATTTAATGATACAGTATTATTTTTATTTTTTTTAAAAAAATATAATTTTTTTTTAAAATAAAAAATATTAATTTTACTAAAATTTAATTTAATTTAATTATCGTAATTCTACAAATATAGTAATAAATTAAGTTTTAGGAAACATTATATATTAATCATCAATTGATTAATTTAAATAAAATTTGAAGTAAAAGATGCTATTTAATTAATTGTATTAAAGCTAAAAAAATGAAATTAAGGATGTCTAATTCTCATTTAGATAATCCTGGAATTTAATATTATTGTTTAACCTTAGTAAATCTAAATAAAAAAGAGAAGCTTTAGAGAAGGATATATCCTTTCTTTCCAATAAGAATGATAGAGATTCAAGAGTTATTTTGCAGTCTTTACTACACCGAAAAACCAAAAAAAAAAAACCTTCACGGGGCCTAGCTTCTATACTCAAAAAAGAGAAAAAAAAAATATATATATATATATATTAAAATGCTTTCCCCCATTTTGATAATTTAAAACTGAAGAATAAAAAAATTTATTTTACTTTAACTTTATCAAAAAAATCATTAACTATAAAAAATAATATAATAATTTTATGGATAAGTGATAATCTATCTAGTGGAAGTAAAATTTAAAACTTTCTAAATTTTTTTTACCTTCTCATCTTTTTAGTTTTTATTCGTCATTGTTTTTACTAATTATTAATTTTTGAATACTATCTAAAGTTTTTATATTTTATTAACTGTGCCAAATTTGGTGTACACTAATTTAATTAAATCTTAACATCTTGTATTATTAATATTTGCTAGATTAATATTTTCAATAAAAAATTTATAATCTTTAAAAGAATTTTTCTGAGTGAAAATATGATCTTATTCTCTTTTCTTTTTTTTTTCTTCTCCGTTGTTGATTTCTTAAATCTTTTGATACAAGTTAAACTTAAAACTCTTTTCTTATTCAAAATATCAATTAGCATTTGATTTAATTAAATTATTATTACTAATTTAATATAATTTTTGAAAGATAAAAAAATTATCAGTTTTTTATAAAAAAAAATTTAACCGCTATTAATGTTTTTTGACACAAATTTTTTATTATTAATTTAATTCAATTTATTTATTCTAATTTAATATATTAATAAGTTAAATTTTTATATTATTAAATTAAATATTATAAATTAATTATTACTATATCATAATATATTTATAAGATAACAAATTTGAAATCTTAAACGAAGTATACCTCATGAAAATCACTAAATCACATTATTTCGTTACTAATTTAATACAATTGATAATTAACAATTGTCCTTAAGGAATACCCTTTTTTTTTTTTTTTTTTTGTTTTTAGTTAAAGCGACATAAGCCATCCCGCCTCAATATCCAAACGCAGTCTAATTTATTCCTTGAGAAAAAGAATGGAGTAAAACCCTAGCAGCTATGAAGTAAAACCCAAGGGTTGTGCAGAGCGGAAGCGACAAGATCGCTCGGAGATCGGAGTCAGAGACGGAAACAATGACGATTGATGGGACGTCGGTGGTGAAGGTGGCGGAGATTGAAGGGAGAGGGAGAGGTATGGTGGCGTCTCAGCTGCTGAGAGCTGGTCAAGTTGTACTCCGAGACTCGCCTATTCTCCTCTACTCAGCTCTTCCCTTTATCAAACAACCGCAAGACCACTTCCCAAATTCCTTGTTCTGCGACCATTGTTTCAAGCTCTTATGCTTACCACAATCATCGGTGACACAGTGTTCTTGCTGCTCTCACCATGTATTCTGCAGTCCTAATTGCCTAACCCTTGCACAGGCCTCCTCTCACTCTCCATGGGTTTGCCATTCCATGACTCGTCTACGAAGCTGCTGCTCCGCTTTTCTCAATCAGCCTCCTGAACGCCAAATCCAAGCCCGATTCCTGATCGCCGCCTTCAATCTCGCCCTCGTCTCTCCTTCTGATTTCCAGATTTTGCTCTCTCTTCATGGCTTGGATTCGCCTTCCGACGCTGCTACAACTCATTTCCTGCATTCACTCATCTCCTCACTCTGCATTTCTCAGATGCAAGGAGGAGGAGAATTCCCTTCCTTCTCGCTGGAACTCACGGCTGCTCTACTGGCCAAGGATAAGCTCAATGCTTTCGGCTTGATGGAACCTTTTTCCTTTCCCGATCAGCAAGGTCAAGGGCAGCGCTCTGTTCGGGCTTACGGTATTTACCCGATGGCTTCTTTCTTCAACCATGATTGTCTTCCAAATGCTTGTAGATTTGACTACGTTGACTCTGCCACTGACCACAATACTGATATCATCATTAGGATGATCCATGATGTTTCTCAAGGTAGGGAGATCTGTTTGAGTTATTTCCCTGTTAATCTCGGGTATTCTAGCCGACAGAAGAGGTTGCTTGGGGACTATGGCTTCACCTGTGACTGTGACCGCTGCAAGGTTGAAGCAAACTGGTCAGATGACGAAAACGACGACCAAGAGGGAATAGCGGAGGAGGTGATGGATGAAGATGAGGATGAAGACCAACAAATGGCGGCGGAGGATGGACCCGTAGGCGGGGACTCTGATTTTCCTCACGCTTATTTTTTCTTGAGATACATGTGTAACCGAGAAAATTGCTGGGGCACTCTGGCACCTTTGCCTCCATCTGATGCCACCCCCTCCAGTTTCCTTGAATGCAACGTCTGTGGCAACCTTAAGCAAGAAGAAGATATTGATGGTGATCAAGGAGACGGCAACTCCTCTATGGATGACTGACCCCTGCTGGACTCGTATGTATAGCATTCCCTTTTGTCTTTTTTTTTTCCCCTTATCAATTTGGCATGGCATCCGAATCCATATTCCATGCTGACCAAGGAGAATTATTTATTTATTTATTTATCTTTAGCGAAATTTAGCATTAAAGTCTTGTATTTTTTTAATAAAATTTTGGACTTTTCAGTTGGTTAATACAAGCTTATTTTTAGAGAGTTTATCTGCTCTTCAAAATAAAAATGGTAGCATTTTATGAAATATCAAACACCCCGCTAAAATTTTAGAGCTTATAGGACATCACTCCCAGATTGAGAGAAACAAGAAATGCCATCTTGAACCACAAAAAAAAAGGTGTTCCCATTTGGAAGTACTAGATCGCTCTAACCACGGACTTCTGACACTATATTAGGTTGGTAAAATTTTATGCCAATTAAGGAACAATATGCTTGAACTCCTGCAGTTTAGTCCAGTGGTTAGTCCTTCCAGAAATGTTTGGGTTCAAAATTCTAGAACGGGTGGTACTTGGAAACAATGTACCTGAAAGTATTTGAGCCAATACGAGATTTTATGATCATGCAACTACCCAAAATGGAGCATTTCTGCCAAAAGTTGGTAGTCGACAGAGTTCCACGAGCATTGGCCTTGATATAGATATTGGCGGAGACAAGGGGAAATAGGGGGTTCACCCCCCTCCCCCCTTAGTATCATGTGTTCAGATATATACACAAACATACATGATCATGCATATTCCCAATCTCCTTTGTTCTTATAGCTTCATCTAATCATATAAACTAGTTCTCTTTTTAAATTTTTTTGGTATATTGCCCATACAGACATTACTTGTGTGGTTAATAAAAGGAGACTTAATGTTCAAATTCTAATAAGTATGGCCTTTTTAATTTTCTAATTAATGAGAGATTTGTATGTGTGTTTGTGTAGATATATATATACAGATACACAAACATGTGGAATTGTTTGGATACACAAACATGTGGAATTGTTTGGATACACAAACATGTGGAATTTTTTGGCAAATAAAACAAAAGAGCAAGTAATAAGAAATAAAAAACAGAAATTTGTGGTTAATTATATTACCATAGAAATGGGTATTAGATTTAGTAATAAAACAAACTAGAGTAATAGAGAATTCGCTGGCCAACCTCAATTTTTATTATACTTAAGCTTCCTTTCTTTGTAAAGTACCAAAATATTTATAGTATGTGGACTGCACCAGATTTTGGGGGAGTGAGATGATGGTTTAATCTATGCCCAAGTCCATGAGAATGGAAGTAACTGCTAGAGCATGTAGTTGCTTAAGGGACACACTAACATAGCTGTAACACCCAAGTGTTATTATTTTTATTTTTTAATTATTTGAATTTTTTTAAATTTTTATTTAATTTAATTTAATGAAAATAATAATAATAATAATGATAAAATTGGGTAAAAATATTATTTGGATTTAATTGAAATTGATTTTGGGAAAAAAAGGTGAAAATTTAGATTATGAGGGTGTTTTTAAAAAGAAAATAGGAAATCGGGGGTCAAAACACAATTTAGAAAAGTTGTGCCACGTTAGCGCCCAAGTCAGCAGCCACGTCAGCGGCCCGGTCAGCAGCCCCGGCCAACCAGGACACGCCACGTGGCAAGGAAATGCTGACCAGGGGACAGGCCACGTGGGCGATCCGTGTGCGCGCGATCGGACGACCCAGATCTGTTCCCGCGCGCACGGACGACCTAGATCAAACGTGCGCATGGACGGCTCAGATTCACGCATACGGACGACTTAGATTCAATCAGGCACGGACGGCCCAGATTGCATCGCGATGGACGGTCCAGATTTAATCCCAATTAAATCGCGAACGAACGGTACAAATCTAATCTTGATGGACGGTTGAGATCAAAAGGCAAATGGTATAAATAACCCCACCCACATCTGACCACAAAACCCTAGCCGCCAGCGCCTCGCCGGAGAAGAAGAACCAGACGCCGGAGGAGTCGACCGCCGCCACCCGCCGCCGCACCGGGAAAGTTTCCGACCGCCGATCGAGATAAATTTTCTCCCCATGACTCGTTTTTCGATGCTGAGTCCGCTTATGGCCAAATCGGAGTCAAACCACCGGGTAAACGGCCAGAAAATCCAGCCGAAACCCAGCGGCGCCGCCGCGCCCCCTCTGTGATCACCGTTCTTTTCTCTACAGGTTGATCGGAGCCAAACATCAAAATGCGACTTACGCCGGAGGAGCCGCCGCACCTGAGATCACCGCCGCCGGTAAGTTTCGATTTTTCGTGATTTTTTGGCCCACCGAAGGCCTTAGGGCTGTTTTATCGCAGGGATCGATGCAAGTGTGGTCGAATTCGGCCGAAAACGGCCAACCCGAGGCGAATCGCCGCCGCTTGTGGCGGCGCTGTCGCAGAAGCACGGCGGAGCCGCTGTGTTGGAATTCCGATATTGGCCGAAAGGAGCCCTAGGTATGATTTGAGATTTTTTGGGACACGTGCAGGTACCGGTAGTGCGTTTCAGTTTTTTCAGAAAAAATTCAGGGAAATTAGGGACAGCTTGTAGTCACACTGTAAAGTCAAATTTAGACCCCGAAACAAGTAAGGATCCCTCACCCTATTTTCTATCACGGTATTAAAACTAAATAAATAATTAAACTGTACTGTGTGACTTTATAAATGTATAATTGATTAAGGTTGCCAATAGAGTCCGAGTCTGATACAGTGTTGGTATGTTATTGTTTGATCTAATTTCCAGTATTAAATGCAGCATGATATTTAATGTAATTTTGTTATGGTCTCGTATACATGAACTATGGTTTCTTTTATTATGATTTGTATTATGGTGAACTCAGTACTGTATTGTCTTATTTGGTGTCAATTATTGGTTTACATGTTTTGTATGATTGGATAATTGAGATTGAGGAAAAAAGCAAAAAAAGTTATGTGAATTGATAAATGGAAAACGTGGACAGTCTGACTAGATATCCTGAGAGATAGTGGACGGACCAGGTCCGTAGGGAACCCTACTGGGAATGTGGTCTCTCAGACCGGACGGGGTATGGAGACCTTATGTGTTTTGGCGCCCATACCGGACGGGGTATGGGGACGACCCGTTTCACCCTCATATCGGACGGGGTATTGAGGTCATGGTTTTGGCGCCCATACCAGACGGGATATGTGGACGACTCTAGAATCAGGTTGTAAATGTTAATGGTTCACGGGTAGCGGAGACCCCCTATGGATCCCCATGGATACTAGTAGGCTGGTAAATGAGGAAAATATGTTGTTTAATGATTGAAATGCAAAGGCGTGGTAAGTGTTATGTTATAAAGTCTATATGATTTCATGATGATGATAATGTTATTGCTTTCATATGTTATTTTCATGAATCTCACTGAGGTAAGTGGACAGTAAAAGTTTTTGTGTTAATAAATGAGTTTGTTATAAATTATGCTCCATTGTTCATTTTTGTTTTCTACCCACCTTTACTTCCGTGGCGGTAAGATAGTGTGATGTCTTTACTGGGCTGGTGTAGCTCATCCCTTATTTAACAATTTCAGATCAGTAAGACGTTGTTCCCGAGCCCGTTCCTCGGGAAGACGGCGAAGGGGACGCGTAAAGACTTCATAGTTATATTTATAGTTTTTATTTCGAGTATCTCTTTTAGTTAGTTTGTTCCTTCATGTGTTGAGTACGTTTTGGTTATTGTGTAAGGGATGTTAATCAAAATTTTTATTACGCTTCCGCATTTGAGATTTTTAATACATATATTTCATTTAAATTTCCGGAGCAGTTACAGTTGGTATCAGAGCCGCATTCCTCGGATCCATCCCTTACATAATAATGCTTAGAGAAATATTCACTGATAAACCGTTACTCAACCATTTCTTATGAAATGCAGGTACAGAGAGATGAGGAGAGGAAGGCCCCCACTAAACCGAGCGGCCCGGGATAATTCACTTTGGGAGAATGTAGACAGGTTATTTGAGATGATGGAAGGATTCATAGTTGCCCAGCAAGGGCGAGGGGAGAGAAGGGAGTTACCCGACCCTCCTCCACTACCGCAGGTTGAGCCTCCGCTACAGCAGGCTGATCCCGAGCCACCCCGGCACGAGCCTGCTCCTCCACAGTGCCGCCTCCGCTACAGCAGGCTGATCCCGAGCCACCCCGGCACGAGCCTGCTCCTCCACAGTACCACCCGGCACCACTGCCGCAGTACAACCCAGTGCCCTAGCCACGGTACTACCCGGCACCGCCACAGCACAACCCAGTGCCCCCATCATATCAGCAGGTGCCACCACAGGACCCCACAGTCTATCCCCAGCTGGGTCCAGTCCCTCTTCCATGGGACTCCGCTCCTTTCTTGATTGACCCGGGCTACATAGAGAGGTACAGGAGACTGAACCCCTCCACCTTTGCAGGGTGATCCTTTTTTGAAGAGGCCCAGTACTGGCTGGCGGAGATTGAGAGAGCTTTCAGGACCTTGGGAGTAGTTCCTGAGCAGAGAGCTGCCCTTGTTTCCTACATGCTGGTAAGGGAAGCAGGATGTTGGTGGGAGCTCAAGCAGACCACCCTGCCTACACCAGTCACTTGGGAGCAGTTCTTAGCGACCTTCCATGCGGAGTATCTCCCTGAGCACATTCGACACCTAAAGGAAACAGAGTTTGTTCAACTGGTTAGGGAAACATGACAGTATCAGAATATGCTCGTAAGTTCCTAGAGCTGGGCCGATACTCCTCGGAGACATTGATGGATAAGGGCCGAAAGGCCAGGAGGTTCCAGTGGGGTCTCCGCCCGGAGATCAGGCAACACTTATTAGTACTGGAGCTTAAGACATATTCAGCAGTCCTAGTAAAGGCACAGATCGTGGAAAGAAGCTTCAGCACCCGTCCTCAGCCAGGAGGGAGTTCTTGACCCTCAGCTCCGTTCTGCAGGCTAGCACCTACTGTGCTTGCCCAACCAAATAAGAGGCCCAGACCACCCATCCAGGCCCCTCCTCAGGCTCCAGGGGCAG